TTTATCACATCAGAAAATTGGTTTTATATAAATTTTTCTGGAGATCCGTTTTTATATATTTAACTACATCCATATCATTTTATTCCACACATGAGCCTAAAAATCAAAGAAAAAATTTAAGCGAGTACAATTTTATGGAAACGCGCACGAAATAATCATGAGAGTTTAATTTAAGAGTAAAAAGTTCTTTAAAAGGCTTCTTCTTTGAAATTTTCGGGTGCGAACTATAAATGCACAATCCTCAAACGTGACACCGCATTAATTTCACTTTTATTGACTTCGTCCATCACTTTTGGCAGAACGTCGTTCTTTGTTGGCGTCAAAATAATAAGGTAAAATGAGAGTCGAATCTGTTTAAATCATCTGGTTAATTGGTTAAGAAAATGTTAATATTTTTTCGAATTTTTCGTCAATGACAAAAATCAATTCCTAAATCAGTGTGGATTCGTTTTTATTTAAAAAAAACACTCTTGTTTAATTTCTTTGTTGTATTAAGCATAGAATAGATATAAGGAAAGTCAATGACAACATTGCTTCAAAGAAATTCCGTGACGTAGAACCTCGTAGCTAGCAGAGTTGGAATGCCGCCATCTTTGTTTTTAAAATGCATGTAGGTACCAACCTAAGCATATAAAGTATACTCACGCATTGTGGCAGATTTGAGTGATTATATGATACTAGCTGACCCGGCAAACGTTGTTTTGCCGTATAGGGTAGAAAAAAATGTTTGGGGTGGACCACCCTTAACATTTAGGGGCATGAAAAATAGATGTTGTCCGATTCTCCACCCTGGCAGATATACACACAAAATTTCACGAAAATCGGTCGAGCCGTTTCGGAGGAATTCAATTACAAACACCGTGACACGAGAATTTTATATATTAGATAACACTAACATGATATGACTTATAAATGTGAAACGTATATATATGACACGGACTTCTACTTCTTAAATTTTCGACACATTTATTTTGCCACACCCACGTTTATTCTCATAACGAATACTTTCAACGACTCTTCATCAAGTTAATCCTAAACCTCAGTCCCTATAGTTTTTTAATCCCAAAACATTAAGAGATAAATTCCATGAATGTATTTTTTACGGAAATAAATAAAATACGCAGATTACTCTGGCATACTTATAACATACGTATAATCTATATTCTTGTTTTAAGTGTAAGTGAACACGACCCATAGTAATGCAATTTAGTTAGACTAGATTTTCAAACTAAGTCAATAAGCGCATTAGTTTATTCGATTTTTTTTATGTGAAAAAAATAGTTGAAAAGTTGCCAAGCGAGCAGGCGGTTCACCTGATGTTAAGTGAATACCGCCGCCCATGGACATCTGCTACATCCGAGGGTTGCAGATGCGTTGACAACATTTTGAAAATTGGGCTCCGGCCACCTGACTCACCAGACGAAACGCGAAAGTATTATACTTCCACTTTAAGCCGGTCTTCTGTGAGGTCGTGGTACTTACCCGGATGAGCCTGCCCATTAGTGCAACAACCGAGGCTGCTGCGTGGCTCTACCACAGTTCGATGTTAGCATATTTCCTATCAACTCTTTTGTATGCACAGTAACACTAATATAATACGTTTTTCATCATCATCATCATTTTAGCTTGTTAGAGCCCACTGCTGAACATAGGCCTCCCCCACAGAGTGTCACGAAGCACGATCCTGAGTCACCTGCATCCATCGACTTTCCCACATTTACACAGGGCGTCACTCCAATTATTGGCGGGGTCGTCCCACACTGCGATGACCAGTACGAGGCTGCCACTGAATAACCTTTCTTCCCCCTCGGTTAACGGAGCAAACGTTCTTAGTAAACATATTGATGAAACTCTTTCGTCTATACTTGTCTTTAACTGATCACATACTAATAGGTAATATACGAATACATTTGCGTATCGCATTAGGCAAAGTGCCCGACTCCTTTTCGCCGAAGCACACCGGAATCAAACATTGCAACAATAAATAAGCATTGCGCTATTGCGTGGGAAGCTCAAATGAATCTATTCCTGAAAAACAACAATACGCAAAATGTGATTATGTATATCGATTATATGATCGAAACAAATGAGAGTAGTAATGTATTTACAGCCGATAGAATTATACAGGAAATTAGTTTAAGTTCACGTTTAATCCTCCCCCAGGTTGATGGCGTCGAGCTTATGAATATTTTACCATGCTATGCTAAAAATATTTGTTTCCTGCTAGCCGATTTCAGCGGCAAACGCTGGCGGAGTTATAGATTACTTAGTTTATGATGCTGACCTAAGCCGGCAATTAGATGGCAAAACAGCAGGCGGTTCACCCATTGATAAGAAACAACCGCCGTAGAAGTTGTGCTGCCAATAAGAATATAAGATTACAGTAATTGTACTTTTCAATGCACTGGGCAAATTCTGTGCCCGCTACCAAATTAATAATTACGTCCATCTGTATTATAAGAAACTTTATTCAATCAATGGAATCTATTTTCATCTTTTCCTCTTTACGAAAATTCCACTGAGGTTGATTCGATGTGAAATTATTAGTTAAAATCGGCTCCAGAAAAATCCAGCTGTAGCGACCACATGATGGCGCCATGTTTAAAAATGGCTTCCTACTCGCTTGTCACGCCGTAAAGTTAAAAACGAACATAAAAACATGTGACTTGTTTAGAAATCACGGTATTGTTGACAAAAACTCGTTGCGTGACAAAACCGCGCGCGTGTTTCGATCGGCACGTGGCGCGAGCTATTTCTGCGCAACGCATTTCGATTCGGTCACGGGTCCGTGTGTTATAAATCAGCTGACTTGCAACAGTTGTAAATATCTCTTCGTCGATCAATACGCGCAAATACAAATGAAGACAACACATACTACATAAATATTTACTACTGATACTTTATAATAATTTGTTGGGATTATTAAAAAATAAACATAAGTAGAGGAGGGGGTGGTAATTTGGAAACCCACTTTGTTTTTTGAGTATTTTAAGAAAACTATTTGACTAATCATCACAAAACTGTCTCTTTATATTTAAAAACTTATTAACTTTTATATTAGAAACTAATTTATAAAATAAAATCACTCATTATAGGAAAAAATTGCTTTCTTGGAAAAATAAAAAAAATGTGTTCTAAGATCTAGTGCTGGTATTATGGAACCTGGGTTCAAAATCACAAACTTGTTTGAAATAAATTTACAAAAATCACAAATATAAAACTCCTGAGCATTCAATATGTGCCCACAACCTATATGATTGGCACTGAATCCAAGTTTCATCCTGTTGATCGTTGGAGTAATTTTCAGAGCAAAAAATGCAACAAGTGTCATCTTAATTTGTGGGCTGGGCATACGTGGTAACATTTTCTGACATTACAGTGTCACCTGAAGAAACAGAAGATTCCGAAGAGGTCGAATCCTTGCTGTTTAGAGGAGTTCTAGAAGTCTTTGCAACACTCTACACCGACCTAATCCCCGACTTCTTCCTCTCTGCGCTATGGACTTGATTGACTACTCAAGTTTCTGTTTGTAAGGAGATCCGGTCAATAAAGTAATGCGGATAATTTGAAACCCGGTTCCATATTACCTGCACCTATCGGGTTCCAAAATTAAAGCCTTACTTTGTTACCAAATAATCAAGAAAACAAAAGCTAGTTCAAATAAATCTTGAAACTTACCTCTGACAATGTAAACTTATGCGTATATACTTCGTGTAACACCTGCTGTATTTAATTTTAGAATAAAACAAAAGTTTTGACAGTATTAGAAAATAAAAGTAAAAAAACATTTGTAGGTGACACAAAATTTCAACTTCTTACAACAGGTCCAAACTCGATGCAAAAATGACGCCAATGGAGCTAATACGTTTAATGACATTAGTTCGATGTAATTTCATAGGTTTTCAACAGATTTCGTTGTCTGTTCCTGGGATATTAAGGGGTTCCAAATTATCAGCAGGTTCCAAGTTACCACCTCTTCCCTATAAATAAGGCTTTTGTTAATTTTCTTTGTTCGGAACGCTGCATTGCTATGTTTTTTTTAGAAAACTGTTCTAGTTAATTCAGATGATTTAAAAATAGAAGACGATTCAATTGCTATTCACTTGTAAGCACGCAAATATAAGTTTGACGAAGACCGATCTAGCTCTAGGTCTGAACTTTAATTCTTGGTAAAATATTGGATTATTGATAGACTTTTAAATGATTTAAAATGAACTTGCAACGAGTATTTATCATCACTAAATGTTACCTGTTTGTGTAAAAGTAAAAAAAAGTAAAGTATACATGTCCCACTGCTGGGCAAAGGCCTCCTCTATACAGAGGGTATCAGGGCATAGTCCACCACGCGGCCCCACTACGGATTGGCGGACTTCACATATTTTCGAAATATATATATATTTTTTTGTTATTATTTCGAAAATATTCAGGTTTCCTCACGATGTTTTCCTTCACCGCGGAGCACGTGATAAGTCAGCACTTAAAGTTAAAAACTTCATTGGTGCCGGCACCGGGGATCGAACTCAGGTTGCTCGAGTATATTGAATTAAAGGCGAGCGCCCGGACACTGAGCTATCACGGCCTGTTTGTGTATAAGGTACTTTATAAAAATTATGGCTAACCCCTCCTCAGTTAAATTCCTTACTTAATCTTTAAGCTAATATATTAACGTATAATGCTAAAAGATCCCCATCAAGGTAGGATAAGTGCAGAAGAATGGTAATGCTACATATTATTACTACATATTATTCAGACAAATTATGAGTGATGAAAACTGTACATATAGTTACGAAAAATCTGTTAAGTACCTCATTTTGATTAAAGGAATTTGCATATTTTATAACAGTTATTTTTTCAAGTCCAAGCAAGTCGAGGTTCGAATTATCGAGATCATATTTCTTCACCAGTCAGTCTATGGTGTGCTGAAGTTTTGGAGTAGGTGAAAATCATTGTATAAATTATTTATTTATTAAACTATGTATATATTTGTAGTCCTCAGCAAAATGCCGTCGGAAGTGATTTCGGGGAAGTCCCTGCAGAGGGAGCTGGCTGATTCCATTATTCGCATGGTGCCACTGGACGAAATAAGGATTCTTTTGGCTTGCGGTGCCAAGGTAAGTGTAAGATTTATCTGTGTTAGGGCCACGCAACAGTCTTTCCTGTTGCACGAATGGGCAGGTCCGTCCTTTTGGACCTTGGCAGCAGCGACAGAAATTGTAGGCGCGTATTCTCCGGATATTCGGAACGCTGTTCATGATCGAAAGCAAATAACCACAGGTCATGCTGACATGTCGCAGACATTCGGAGCGCTGTCGCTAATCGGGGCTGCCTTGGCAGGTGAACGAGCCGGTGACGCAGGGCCTGAGGCCACTGCACTACGCCATCTGGCAGCGGCACCTGGAGGCCACGCGGCTGCTGCTGGTGCGCGGCTGCGACGTGAACGCGCGCGACGACTGCGGCTACTCCGCGCTGCACCTCGCCTCAGAACACGGGTCAGTGGCCAACATCACAAAGTCAGTCAAACAAAACTATGGACCACGCAAGTGTTCACTGTTGCACGAATTGGCAGGTCCGTCGGCGTAAGTACCACGACCTCACAGAAGTGTTACACTTCTGCGTTTCGTCTGGTGAGTGAGGTAGCCGGCAACGCATTTATAACTCCATGGGTGCTACAAATGTCCATGGGCGTCGGTTATCACTTAACATCAGGTGAACCGCCAGCTCGTATGCCACTTTCTCACATTAAAAAAAAACATTCCTAAACACAGATCACGAATGGACCCAATTAGGAGGTCCGAATCTCAGAACTGATCAATTCGTAGTTTATTTAGTAATGAGTATTATGATATTTACTAGTAATGTGCTTATAATTTTGTAAACCTCTTTTTAAGACAATAAAGAAACTTATTATTATTTTCATGTCTCAATAGTATTTTTTTAAATCAACCAATATAATGAAGTTCCTCTAACGGAGAAGAAGCAGGCGAAAGAAACTCCGTGGTCTTCTATTTTGTCATTTTTTTTTGCATATCGATACCTTAATTGGCAAACCAGCTAACTCCACCTTTGGTCAAAAATATTTTTTGGCTTTGTTTGTACGCAATAATAATTCCGCTTGATTTGCAAAAGCAATAACTCCGATATAATCACTATTTCTTTCTATAAATCGGTATTCGCAAATCAGCCAACTCCGCATGTCACGGAACGTTACAATTTTAACAGCCAACTCCACCAAGTCGGCTATTTCGTATGGCGTCCGAGTCATGTACGGGTACCGCCCTACGTTATTTGGAAAAAAAATATATAAACGCTACAAAAGGAAAGGTAGTGTTGAAAAACAATTGAACATTAATACACAGTATGGATACTTATTTTATTTCTTACAAAACATTGATAGGTAATTGAACAATTATAAAATTTAATATTGGCTTTGAGTTGGCCGGCTTGCTTCTTACTTTATTACGCTACGGTTGGAAGTTATACATTTTAAAGTTTATTAAAAATTTAAATTAAATTTGATGATACCAACAAACCTGACACTTTTCTGTTTGTTAATAACTAATTTCCAAAACCCTACGACGTATTGGTTAGGCATGATGGCATAACTTCTAATTCATCGAATTTATTTGTGCAAGTGTGCGGGAAGTCGTTGGAGGCCTGTGTTCAGCAGTGGACTCAAACAGGCTGAAATGATGATGATGATGATTTGATAACAACATTTATTGCATTGGAAATGAACTGTATGCCATGGAGTAAACGCAAACATGAAATTGTTGTTAATGAAGACATATTTCCGTTTGATAAAGAACAATTCAGTCCATGTTTGCTATCTGGTCACCTTACACCATCACTTAAATACAATCTTGAAAATGCCTCTAAGTTTTAAGCCAGCTCACCTCTCTACAAGTAATGATAAATCGGATAACGATTAGGCCGTTCCTTTGATACAGAAACTACTAAAAAATCATGAAACTAGACTACTGTAAGTAAAAGAGAAATACTGTTATCCAATGTCATAATATTTCTGAAGATGACGGAAAAATATTATTTGATAAATTTTTAAATATGACGGGATAAAAAACGAATTTACGTTGTTTGTTTAGTAAAAATTTTAGATACAATTAGGCAAAGAGATAGGACAGACCCTTAAAAATGTAAAAAATTTAACGCTTTTATATACCACCCTTCAAAACGTGTGTATTTATGATATGAAAACTAGAGATGGGTGTTCCTTTCTATGAAAATTGTTGTTAATGAAGACATATTTCCGTTTGATAAAGAACAATTCAGTCCATGTTTGCTATCTGGTCACCTTACACCATCACTTAAATACAATCTTGAAAATGCCTCTAAGTTTTATAAGTAAAAGAGAAATACTGTTATCCAATGTCATAATATTTCTGAAGATGACGGAAAAATATTATTTGATAAAGTTTTAAATATGACGGGATAAAAAACGAATTTACGTTGATTGTTTAATAAAAATTTTAGATACAATTAGGCAAAAAGATAGGACAGACCCTTAAAAATGTAAAAAAGTTAGCGCTTTTATATACCACCCTTCAAAACGTGTGTATTTATGATATGAAAACTAGACATGGGTGTTCCTTTCTATGGAATGAAGGCAAAGGCTGAGTTCTGATTAGTTTGCAACGATTTTAACCAATTTCTTAGTTGATAAAGTAATTCTAGCAATAGAATTATTATTCATAAGAAGATGACAACAGATATTAAAAAATTAAATTAAATTTGATGATACCAATAAACCTGACTCTTACAAAACCTGACTTTGAAAAATAAAATTTTTATTTAAGATAAATCTATCAAGAAAACCAGCTAACTCCCAGATCACATACTTTTGCAAGAAAGAAAATACGGATAACTCCTAAAAAACGCTGTAGTATGGTAATGAAAATGTATAGTGGATTTTATAATATCAAAAATGACAATTTACGATAATATCTAAAAAAAATATTATACAGTTTTAAGTGTCTCCTGTAAAACTTGCCCATATGGAGTTAGCTTGTTTGCCAATTAAGTTATCGATATGACAATTTATAATTTTAATATTATAAAACATTAAAACATTTATGGTTTTATACATTTTTTATAAATAGCAAATTCATTATAATAGTGATACAAATGTTTAAAGAACGCTAACGTGATTTTTAAGCAATATAATGTCAGTTTTACAAATTAAAAAGTTGTGTTCTTTATGAGTTCTATTTCCGAATTCCATAAACGATAATTCAAGTTTTCTTTCATTATATTTAGGTGCGTTATGAAAAAACGATGAGTGAAATTTTAAGATGCGCGCGCATCACTGTAACACAAAAGTAACACCTTCGAAGCTGCGTGCTAGACCGCTTATTTTTTTATAGATGGCAGCATATTATTCTCAATCACATTCGCTCGTTATAGTTCTCAATAATGTAGATGGTGCTTTCATAATGTTATTTTTTTATATCCTTTTCCAGTATTTTTATTATTTTATTGTAATTAATTATTTGCATGCAATTAAGTCCTCACGCGCGTAAGTACCTACACCGACCTATTTTTTGTAACTCGAAGTAGTAAATGTCTTATGTCTTAAAGTTCTATATACTCAGTGTGCCTCAAAATTGTGTATTAATATGTGCATTAAGGGCAAAGTGTTCAGTCAATGCGTTAAGTGCTAAAAGGTGTGTTCTGTACAGCTACCCGGAGCTAGTGAGGCTGTTGCTGCAGAGCGGCGCGGCGGTGGACTACCGAGAGGACACCGGTGAGCAGTTCCCCCGGACAACTCTCTGCGATGAGCCCCTACGTCTCGCCATCAGGAACAAACACTATGTAAGTTTTTACGAGATACTGGCTGATGAGGAATTTCCCTAATAGCAAGTGTATCAACACCCATAAATATTGGACGCCCTGTATACTTTGCTACTATAATACTCGTACTGTGCCCTGGTCTGTATGAGGTATTGCTTCTTCTTTATCCAGCCAGATCTTGCTGCAGCATGTACTTAGCTGGAATGACGACTTGTTTCGTCGGGTTAATATCCTGCTCACGTAAGCAACACGTCCAGGATTATCTAAGATTATCCAACATAATCCAAGATTATCGTCCATCTACAACCACCTGACTAACTTCATAAAATAGTGAAATTTCATTTCAACGACAAACTATGTACTAATATTGGTCATAAAACTTGGCTTCAAATGTTAGATTTAAAATGGTGTCCAATTGATGTAGTTTAATCCTTTACATTGGTCAAGTCTTTCATTCATAAATGTTCTTCAAGGAGGTCGCCAAACTCTTGCTAGAGCATGGGGCAGACCCCAACAAGCGGTATTTCTTCGGTGCCGAAATTAACCTGGTGTCAGATCCGGAGTATTTGGAATTGCTCCTAATTTTTGGAGCCAATCCTGACTCGAGAGATCGTGCTGGGCTGACACCCCTCATGAAGGCTGCTAGACAGAAAAGAGTAAGTAAGAGAACGTAGATATCATAGAAATAAGACTATTTTGATGAGTATTTACCTGACAATGAACTCGGAAGTGTTCTGTACGTTGGAATTGGTATTCGAAAATAATGAGCAACTTCAGTAATTTGTAAGCCCTCTGGTGTTGCAGATGTCCATGGGCGGCGGTGATCACTTACCATCAGGTGAACCTCCTGCTCGTTTCCCGCTTTTTCCCATAAAAAAAAAAGTCTTCCATAGTCACAGATATAAAAAAACGAAGGATGGCATAAACAGACAACTGATTTTTTAAATTCATAGCTAATATTAGAAAATTAATTTGCAAAGCAAAAATTATAAAGTAACATAAAATTCAAATATAAATTACAAAATTCTGAGCAGATTGATGATGGATATTGACACTAGCCAATATAAAAATCAAACTTACCCATTATTTTGAATAAATCAACCCGATAATTGAATTAAACACGCAAAATATTTTCGATCTCTCGTTGCTAGTTAATAGCCAACATTGAACGGCATACTTGCGAAGGTAGAACTACCTGTTAATAGATTCCTAATTTTCCAGGGTATTGAAGCGGTGCTGCTGTTGATCAGCTACGGTGCTGATGTTAATGCAATGGCTGACGCGAGGAATGACTACAGGACAGTCATGCACTACGCGGTACTAAGCGGTATGGAAGTCATTTGCACTCTATTTAACCTCAATCAAAGATTTGCAGCACCCCTTGTTGTCATTGTGGCCTAGTTTCGTATCTTCTTTCCTTTTAATTTTTGTGACCTTGTTCCGTTTCTTCGCATTTACTTATATTGAAGTGAAAACATAAGGAACGAGGTCTGCAGGTACTTAGACAGAGCAACTTTAGTTAAGATTTTCTGCCTTATTAAGTATGCTACTTGTTGATTTTATGGCACCAGCATCTCGCTCAGAAGCGGCCATCAAATTACCCCATAATGTTATTAAGTGATTTGACAGTCTTCTAGAATATTAAACCTCTTTAAAATTATGTTTGTCCACGTGAAATTTATTTATTTAAAACTTGCTAACAAAACAGTACAATGTTAGCAGCAGTACAGTGGTCGTCAGAACCTAATACACCATCCCTTCCACAAAAAAAAACAAAATACATGGCGGTCCTTGCCTAGACTGGTCTGAAATTTGAACTTGTGGGCGTGTAATAGATTACGTTCTTAACAAATTTAAAAATCCTTCTTCTGCGTTAGGGCCACGTAGCAGATTCCGTGGCATGGGCTGACTCATTCGTGAAAGAAACTTCACATAAGACCTGCATGAACGGGATATATTACAGTCATGCTTTACATTTAGCGACTGATACCATAGCCACAAGTTAAAAGCTTAGAAATACTCATTACATAAAAAAACTTATATTGAAGTGAATGATTTCTTCGATTCTCCCATCGCAGCAGTTAATGGAACTCCAATCTTATCAGGCAACCCGGACATGGTGAACCTACTGATCAAGCAGGGCGGCCGCGTCAACTACGAGGGCCCGGATCTGAACAAGCCCAGCGCCCTAGACCTGGCAATACTCAAGGGCGACGTGGCGATGGTGCAGATGCTGATGGCTGCAGGTAAACATCTCATACAAATATGAAGCTAGTAGAATGGACAGACATTTTTGAATAAGTGTATAAATAAATATCTTTTGGACACATTTATAGTGTTCTCTAGTCCCAAACTAAGCAATAGTTGTACTATGGGTACTAGATAACTGATAAACATACTTTTCTTTTGTAAATAAATACATATTATAGATATATACCCAGACACTGGAAAAACAATATGTTTTATTTTTCCAGTAGTAGCGAGCCCACACCCTCTGGTTCAATAGTTCACTACCCACTACGCCAATCAGATCGTCGATTTATTAATAAATTATTTCATACAATCATTTCAAGAAATATAGTATATGTTCGAATAAATAAGTTGAAGTATCTTTCGTTGTCTTCAAAATAAATGGCACAAAAGTGGAAGCCAACTTACTGTGGAAATGCCTAACGATAAATGACTTATTTATGGGATTTTTTTTCTTTCTAGCTACTGATGTGAGCTCGAATATGCTTCAAAACGGTTTAACGGATATCAATGAAAATAATCAGAAAAACTTTCTATACGAGATAACTTTTAGAATTCAATTGAATTTCCATTTACAGATAAACACCATCATGTTTAGTCAAATGTATCTTTCATTTTGGGAGTTTTTTGGGCTTACTGACCCATTTTTGTTTTCAGGAGCTCAAGTGAACGCGTCCAGTTCTGTAATCGGTTCTCCCCTCCACGTGGCCTGTTCGGACAACATAGACAATAGGAAGGAAATCGTAAAAGTGAGTTCTATATAAACAGTTTCGTAGACATGCTTTATAATTATGTTATTTAATAAGTAACTCTTATAAAGTTATAATATCTTCAACCGAATGTAGCAGATTATAGTATTTGTTAAAGCGCAAATGTAATATGAAAAAATCTGCCAAGTGCGAATCGGAGTTGTTATAATTATGGTACATATTTGATCTAATTAATAATTTACCTATAATTTATTAGTACAGTTTGTTGCGACTTATTTAAGTTATTGGTTTGTTACCTATTGCGTCGTGATATTTCCTACACCCTAGAGAGGGGGGTGGTTGGTATTTTTTGAGGGGTATAAATTCAACTCTCGCAATGTACGCGAGGTAGTTTTTGGTTATTGGAAGTTAAGGCTGTTGCTCTGTTGGAAAAGTTAAGTACTATTTTTAGCCAATTATTGAGTCATCGTTGAGTTATAGTTGTAAAAATCGAGAAAAAGCTGGCTTGGTTTAATGATCTATAAAAATCGGCAAAAAAAATATATTTCTTGTATGAGAGTTCTACTTAAATATTTTTTTTTAGTATTTGTTGTTATAGCGGCAACAGAAATACATCATCTGTGAAAATTACAACAGTCTAACTATCACATTTCTTGAGTACAGCATGGTGACATTCGTACAGGCAGACAGACAGCGGAGTCTTAATTACAGCGTCCCGTTTTACCCTTTGGGTACGGAACCTTAAAAAGCTAGATAAATATCTTTCTTGTACTTTAGTCCATAGAATGACCATGACAAGCGCGTCGGCTAAACTGCCTTTTTCCTTTTTTTTATTATTACCATTGGGGTTAAATTGATTGAGAAATAGACATTTATGTAAACAAAAAAAAAACTTAATAAACACATACGCTATCGACAAATCTAGCACACACTCACGGTACCAAATGAGGTGATCATTTTTGACAATTACAGCTTCTGCTCGAGAGCGGCGCCGACCCTAACCTGAAGGTCCTGAATGAGGAAGATGGTGCTCAACTACGGCCACCGCTGGCCGAGTACCTGGCCAGCAACGTGCAGCCCAGCTCCGACATCGTCTTTTTACTACTGCGCTACGGTGCCAGGGTGAGGATTTATTTGTTTATTATTTTTTTTTTAACAGGGGTAGGTCAATGGTGGCAAGCGAGCTGGGGGTTCACCTGGTGTTAAGTGATACGCGCCGCCCATGGGAATTTGCAACACCCGTAGGGTTACAAGATGCATTGCATACCCCAACTCACTCACCAGACGAAAAGCAGAAAGTTGTGTGGCCCTACCACAGAAAGTTGGCAAACGAGCAGCTAGTGTTGCTCAGCCTTTGAGGGAATGGCTCCTGTTTAACCCACTTGTTGGAAGAAACGCGAACTTCACGCTGTGACACTGGGTGGTTGGGCAAGCCGACTTTTGCAACAGCAATGTAAAATACCAGTGGCTTTTTAGTGCTAACCTTATGAATCGGATCATCAATTATATGCATTGACGACCCAGCCAATTTCAAAACTTTGAACTTTGGTTTCAGGTAATCATGAAAACGCAATTCCGCGATCCCGACGGCATCCTCAACCATCTGCAGAACGTTACCGCTGAGGAGTACCAGCACATCTTCTACCTCCTTCTAGAAGCGGCCGAAGCCTTCGATCTGTGCATGATAAAACGGAACTCGACTCTCACAGCCATACAAAAACAGACCTTAATCGACCGCGCTAAGAACCCAATTACCTTGCTCGCCCAAACGAGAATATTCTTTCGCAAATATTTCGGCACCGACCTAGTGAACATTGTTGAAAAACTGGAGATTCCTACAACGCTCCATCGCTACCTTCTTTTTGAATGCCGTTAATTAAACGCTACGGCAATTTCTGGGTTCATTTTGCATTGGACCAAGGAAATTGTTTCTTTGGTCAATTTATACTTTTCGGCGGCAAATGCGGCCACATTTGGAGATTCTTTCTGCAATAAAATAAGTGGTTAAACTGTTTCGATTCGAAGTGTGAACGCAAAATAAGTATAATATAATAATTTTTATACAAGTTTTATTTTATTTTACGTAGAATTTGTTTTTATGATGATATATAGAGACAAGGAATGAGTTGTCCATTAGTCTTTGTTTATTTTTTACTATTATATAATTGAGGCCCACAAGTTGACAGTACTCGGTTTATTTTATTTTATTTTGAGATTCAAAAATTACAAATGGTGATTTATGAATATTTTCTATATCTATAAAAAAAAATATACTTTTCTTTTTCTCTATCATTATTTCGAAATCAGTTTTGATTAATATGTCTTATGATTGATTATATTTTATAAATATTATTATTGGAATAGTGAACTTAAATAGTTCTTAACTTTTTACAGAGATAACAAAAACGGAAAATGTATACGTTACAAATACTGAGTTCGTACGTACCTATTTACAATTCTCTGCACATAATATTATATGCTTTTAGTAGGCTGATTACATACTTATTATGTGATATTTTGTGATAATTTTTAGTTTTAAGTTTTTATATTTACGACTGAATTATATAAGCAATGGGAGATACGCATGTTTTTTGTATTTTTTATTCTTTGAATAGACGATATATATTTTTTTCAAAAGAGATATGGTTCCTTTTATGCTAGACTTCAAAATTGGAAAGTGTCGTTATTTTTATTTTACAGATATTTTTACTTTTCTTTGTTGTAAATGAAGTGTTTTCAACGAATCTCTGTCCCTTACTTATACAATATAGGCAATAGAACATTATGTATTTTTATTATTAAAACTAAACAAGGTCTGGCGTATTTATCGATATATGTAAACGGCGTGAACAATAATTAAAAATATATTTTCAGATGTATATTCCCTGGTGTAATATGTTAAGTACACTTTCTTCGACTTTATTGTATCACGTAAAATAAATGTGTGTTGAAAATAGTCATAATATTAATTTATATTTCACCATTATAATTCATTAAGAGTGTCAGAAAACTAATGCCAAGTGTCAGACTAGTGCTCTTAACCTATGGACATCATTTACGTTTATTAGGTATTCCTAACCTGTGTCACGTGTTGGCCAAAATTGAGCTTAGAGTCAAGGACGACATCTAAGTATTTGCCTTTATTAATCCATGGTACTGGACTATCATGACATGGGCATGGCGGGTGGGGGATTGGTCACCTTATGGCGTGAGAAGCAGCATATTATATTTTATGTATATTATTTCGAAATATATTGTTTAAAATAAATATGAATTGAGGCAAGTACGCAACTTAATGAATTTCAAGTGAAAAGATGTGTTTTTCCGCGGTAAAAAGTAACCTACCTATCCTTCCTAACTACCTTCATATCAAATAGTGTATAGACGAGTAGCACCGTTTCGACGTAAAAGTCGTTTTACCGTGAGAATTAATGGGCTGCTTTTTATTGTTGAACAACAAATAGTTGTTGTTCAACAGTAAAAAGCAGACTTTGAACCTCTTTAACCTACCAATTATAAACATAATTTTACATCATCATCAATTCAGCCTGTTTGAGTCCACTGCTGAGGCATAGGCCTTCCCCAGAGACTGCCACGAAGCACGATCCCGAGGCACCTGCATCCATGGACCACACAGACACAGGTCATCACTCCATCTAGTGCAGGTTCGTCCCACACTCAGCGGCGGATTTCCCCTAAGGCCCAATAGGCCCGGGCCTAGGGCGGCCACATATTAGAGGCGGCCAATTGTGACAAAAAATTCTCTGATGATAATAATATATATGATGGAGTCTGAGAAAGGGGTGGCTGGAACTTACTACATGGGCTGGGGCCCAGGGCGGCCAGGACTACAAATCCATCACTACCCACACTGCCATGGCCAGTACGAGGTTGCCACTCGAGAACCTTTCTTCCCCAATCATCTTTTTTACGAGCTATATGGCCGGCCCATCGCCACTTCAGCTTACTAACCTTCTGAGCTATGTCGGTTACCTTTGTTCTACTGCTGATGTCTTCGTTGCGAACTCTATCCAGAGAAATACCGAGCATAGCCCGCTCCATAGCTCGCTGAGCGACTTTGAGCTTCCTACGGCCAGCCGTAGAACAAAGCTCAAAGTGAAAGGACCACGTCTCAGTTCAGTATACCATCATTGGCAATACACATTGGTTGAAGACTTTAGTATTCAAACATTGAGGTATATTCGACGAAAAGATTTAACGAAGTTTCCCGGACGCAGCCTATCCGAGTTGAATTTTCCGATTGACCTCTACATCGAAGTTGGTTTTACCTAGCCGGACTAACTGTCGTAGGTATACGTACTCGCCAACAACTTCGAGCACAGTGCTCCCAACAACAACCGGTATAGGGATGAGGCGTATATACTGGAACAGGTATAAATACCCAGTATGAACATACCAGTACCGACACCGGGTATGTACGGCAGAGGCCCGTTCCATACCCGATAGGTATGGCCGCCTCGTCCGACGGTGGCGGTATATACGCTCGCGACAACCCGCCCGCACACCGGGTATGTACGGCAGAGGCCCGTTCCATACCCGATAGGTATGGCCGCCTCGTCCGACGGTGGCGGTATATACGCTCGTGACAACCCGCCGGCCGAATAGGTACGAAGTTCCCCGAACGCTTACGGCAGCTCTTCCCGATCATGCCCGAATTGAAACGTATGATTTAGGCATTTTATACCAAATAATTCCTTGAGATAAATTTATTCTTTATTTCTATGACCATAAGTGAAATAAATAATTGCGTAATGAGGTTAAACAGTAATATTTATTTTGCATTACTTTTTTTGATAATAGTGTTCTTTACGTTAGTAAAGATGGAGCTTATTTTAGACTGATTAAATCTCAATTAAAAAAAACTGATTGCTAAAAAAACATCTAAATGTTCCAATTCCAACCAAAGAAAGGTTCAATTCCATACCGGGTCTCCAAAAGGAGGCCTGAACATAACTAATACCTATAGGTATTTTGATACTGGGTTTTAGCACCGGGTATACGGCGATACCCGTACCTTTGAGGCCGGGTATAGAATGTTGCAGGTATATCTCATGCCTAAACCGGTATAGGCGGGACATGGACAATAGACATGATCTTCGTCTTGTCTATGTTCATCTAAAAATTTATTTTTATATATTACTAGCTGACCCGGCAAACGTTGTTTTGCCATATAAATTAAAAAATGTTTGGGGTGGACCACTCTTATCACTTAGGGGTATTAAAAATAGATAGTAGCCGATTCTCAGACCTACTGAATATGCATATAAAATTTGGTAAAAATCAGTAAAGCCGTTTCGGAGGAGTAAGATAACTAACATTGTGACACGAGAATTTTATATATTAGATATGTATATTTCCAACTATAAATTTATACAACTATAAATCCATTGATCTTTACGAAGTAAAAAGAGGACCAACACAATGTTACTTTTAGTGTGGAGTGATTCAAATATGCATAATAATGGATCTCCTCGTGAAGACGAAAATATTAAAAATAGGTAATAAAATATTTATTAAAAATGCGAAATTGTATTTTTTATTTATTTTTCCTGCTTTCACGTCGCAAAATATTAAATTTGAATATAGACATTTTTTGTTTTTATCAGAATTTGTTTTAGGGTTTTTATTCTTAACATAAATATATTACACAATGAGAGATATGCGGCCAATTTCAAAGTAGGTATTGTGTGCACGGAAGCGAGCGTGGGGTAGGTTTGGATTTGGAACCCCTCCGACCGGGTTCCCGCCTTGACGTGGCGGAGGGGCTTAGTAGCCGTGGCTTGGTCCCCCACGGCGAAGCTAAGAGGAACCCACACTGGGCCGGCCTATGGTGTAAGGCCGGCCCGAGAAGGCCGCTCCGAGTGCGCTCAATGAGCCTTCTCCAGATGCGTGCTGGAGGGTGCAGGGGACAGGTCGAGGGTGGTAGAGGTGGAGCCACTCTCCCTGTCTTCTGCTACCGAGGAGGAGTCGCGGGGGAAGAGGAGTGTCGGTATTGCGTTGGCCATGCTCCCTATCCTCCGCGACTCGGCGGGGCTGCACCGCTGATGCAGCTGTGGTGGGACCGCTGGGGGAGAGGAGTGTCGGTATTGCGGTGCGCCGTTCTCCCTATCCTCCGCGGCCGAAACGTGGTGAGCGGCGGAGGCACAGACCAGGTCCGCCGCTGGGGGCTGGGAGGCTTACTGCTTATTAGCACTGGCTCTCCTGGCTCCCATGGCCCCGGTCAGCGAACTCGGGGGAGTTCGTTGGCCGTGAAAATGGGGCCGAGTAGGAAGGCATGCTGAATGTTCCAGCGCGCCTTACCTGGAGGAGAGGGGAGTTGCTCCCCGTGAGAGGGCTGCTAAGGCGGCCAGCGCTGCCACGGTCGCGGAAGTGTGCGAAAGCGTTCCCATGACCCTGCCGATATGCGCCTAGGTGTAACATCGTGGGGTTTTTAGTCGGTGCGAGTCCGACATAACCCGCTCTTGCCCCCGCGAGGGCGGGTATGCGTAGGCATTTCCCCCACGTTAACAAAAAAAAAAGGTTTGGATTTGGAATCTTCACTTCAGAACACCAGTATATATATCTTATCTATGCTTCAGAATGATAATAAACACAAACAGCACGGATGACCGATGACTTTGAATTTCTATTAGACGTCAAAGTCAAATGTTTGACGTTTGTTAATTGCTCGTGTGTTCGATATTGTTTGGAGGAAAACTATAGAAATCACCTAATTTGAAACTTAATTAAATACCTTAATAGTTTAAATTAAAAGCTAACAATGACTGATAAACAAAAAGTTGATCTCGGTCTATTAGAAGAAGATGACGAATTCGAAGAATTTCCTGCAGAGAGTAAGTTATTATTTACATACCACTAAAGAGTATATTGATGTAAGTTTATTTCCTTACTATTTTACCTCTTTCACTAGATTGGGGAACGGAAGACGCTGACGATGACGACGTGTCCGTCTGGGAAGACAATTGGGAGGATGATGTTGTTCAAGATGATTTCAATCAACAACTTAAGTGAGTAGAGCATTTATTGGTTATATTCTGATTTTTTTTAATTGTATTCATTTCTCTTTAAATAATTGTTCAATATTACCAGCATCAGATTGTTCAGGAAACCCATAATTATGACAGATGCCCGTCACTACATTTATCACATTTTATATGAGACAATGAATTTGCACAAAACATTCTTCAAAAATAGGCGGTTCATGGGAATTTAAATGTGTAGAAATATTTATTCCAATATTTTAATGAGCCTTCAGTTATTGCCTGTGATTTGCTTTCCGCCTTTTTAGTAAAAAAATGTGACATGAAGACTTTCTGCTGTTGGTGAACAAAAATAAATAAACCATAACAATGCAACCTTTTAATAACCCCATGAATAAAATTTTCTTAAGATAATCAGTATTAAAGCATCAACATATTAACAATTTTGCAAAAGCATTTCTTGATTGAGTGTGAAAATCTATTCTATTTCACTTACAGTATTTTTTTTGTTTACAGGCAACAACTGGAAAAGTTGAAGGACAAAACCAAAATTTAAATATGTAATTTTAAGACTTGTAACTTTAAGGTTCAGTTTGTATGATGGATATTGTTTAACAACTTTCACACAATGCCATGTCATTCATTTATTTTGCAAAGGATTAAAATTTTAAATAATACTTTTCTATTAAAATAAACTAAGCCATTTTTACCAATTTTATTTTTGAACTCACAGTACAAGTGTAGTTTGTTTCAATTAGGTAAATGTATTTTAGTTTCATAGTGATTATTACCATGGTTCTTCTTTTGCAAGCAGGCAGCTGGCCTAATGTTTATTTCTTTCTTTTCAACATTTACTATCTTAACAGGTTATCCTAATATGATAGGGTATCTATACTATATTATACACACTCATCTTTTTTAAAATGTACATAACATAAAATGCTAGCTTTATGAACTTGCTCAGAGAACAACAAATTGAGTCTGATTTCTCTGGCTATCGAGTTAAGAGATTTGAATTTCAGGGAGATAACACTTTTTCTTCTATTTAGTGTTTATGTTGCCCAATGTAACTCAGTACATCATTTATCTAACTTTACATTATGTAAATAAGATGTTATACAGCGTGTCGTTACCATCGCGACAATAAATGAACACACGTCTAACGCTACTTGCCAATAATCATAAAAAATATTAACGTTAAACAAAATCCATAATTAAAAAAAATATTTTTCAAACAAACTAATTAAGTAAAAAAGAAATAAAATTTGTAACATCCTATACAACTCGCGCCACAGCGTCGTATTACAAGCCTCTCCTTCTAACAGTATGTTTTGTCTCTTGTAAATTCATTCATCCCATTCATTTGCTTTGTGACCTTTACAAATGAACTTTACGTTACGCTTTTATAGGTAAGGGTGTTCTAAAATTCTTTGTTTTGGAAAATGTAATAACTCTGTAAATATTGATGTTTAAAGAATTTAAATGATTAATACAACTTTAAAAAATTATCCCCTATATGTGTGTTCATTTATTGTCGCGATGGTAACGACACGCTGTATACTCTAAATCCCAACCACACAATATCACATGGCTGGGAACGTAGAGACCGTAGCTATCAAACAATATCGCGAGTATTAATGGTTTACGTTCATCAGTGGACGGTAATTGACTAATATTGATAGATTGATATTGATTTTAATAGAAAACCACCGGAGGATATGTGAAACCATTCACGTCGTCAAAATTGGATACATTTCAATCAACCTTAAAAATAAGCAATGTATCAAACAGTACAACACCACATAAAGCACCGGCATAAAAGGGGATATCATATTAATATATACTAAAAATAATAATGGGCCCAAGATTGAGACACCCACGTTCATGAGGGACCCTGCGCAATATTACTGTTTGCTATTTTGTGTACCGAATAAAATAAGATAAAGACTATTTTGATCCAAGCGCACCTTATACGAAGCTAACGCATATTGTGATAGTTCTTATTTAAATAACGCATTTTTTTTTCAAATTTAAAACAAAATAAAATTGAACGAAAAGTGGACATATTTTTTCCTATATACTCTAGGTACCTATCTATCTTGTTAGGTTTTATCTAATACCCAGACTTATTTTGACATAGGTTTTGACATATGACACTAAAACAATAACAAAAAAAAACGAAGAATGTACACTGATACACTCCAATAAGAATTTTATTTGGAAAATAATACCGTAATTGATTTAAAGGTTTGAATAGTATGACAAACGAAGAAAGATCTATTTCTAATATTTTGGAAGATGACGACGAATATGACGATTACATTTGCGAAAGTAAGCCCCCAAAACAAATCAAAAAAATGTTCGTGTGGAAAATCATATTTAAATGGTAGCGGCGCCTGTTTTCATTAGGCTTTAAATTTTACCTACATAAAGTATAGGCTTTAGTATATAAACATATAATATTACATGGAAATATGCTTTACGTAAAAACCTAAGAAGATAAATATCCAAGCTATTTAATTATATTTATTCAGTGTCCACTAAAATGTTTAGTTATGGACTTATTTATAAAACTTTCAACCTATAGAAGAGAGTACGCTCTACACTATAGTATATATATATGTCCCACATAAGAGTATTGCTATAAGAACTGTTGTTATATATATACATAAATATATATATAAACTGAAACTGTTCTTATAAATAGATGCTATAGAAAATAGCAAGCTCTGTAGCAATTAAGGCCCTCTTATGAGGTGTAAATGTAATTATTATTCTCATATACTCAGTGTATACCACAACCACTACACAATACAATTGGGAAATAACTATGTTCAATCTCGTATGTAATCAAACTGTTGTGGATTAAGTTTATAAAAAATCAATTTCTGTTTTGTGACAGTGCATAGAAATGTTGAAAATGATGATGTAGATCAAGCGGCTTGGAGTGACAATTGGGAGGACACAATCGACAAGGCACCCAAAGTTAAGTTAGTGCATTGAAAGTCCAAATAATTTTCTTAATACAAAAATAAATTGACACTTGCACCAGCTCAAATTCAACTTAACTAATTTTGCTTTATTTCAAATAATAAAATTTTTTAAAATTCAAACAGATTACAAAACCATTTGTACCATCTGTAATGAAAATTGTTTTAATATATTGACGATTTCTTTTACTAGTAAAAAAGTTACCAAAGACAAAAATGATTTAAATACCAGAGAAAAGATTACCAAAGACAAAAATGATTTAAATACTAAAGAAAAAATTACCAAAGGCAAAAATGCTTTAAATACCAAAAAAAAGAATAAAGAGAAACCTAAAAGAGAGGGAAAGACAAGAAAATTACATAAAGTTTGTACTTTATATTAGGTACATAAATTCTTTCAACATAATTTTTTATATTGATTAAAAATTGAGAGATTTAATATATAACAAACTTTATAATACCAGGTTTTGGAAGATGTTCAATCAAGTCTGCAAGTGGATATAGCCCGCAAAAGCAATTATAGAGTAGAAAAATATTAGAGTATGCTTCTGTGAAATATTTTTTTTGTGAAATATAAATCAATATTTGACTTGTTTGAAAATGCTCACTCCAGTAGTTATTTTTATTGAAATGTACAAAATAAGATCTAACACTCATTGTATTTATAGCGTATATTTTACGTCACTGATATTGATTAACGCAGAACTTGTGTGCTAGACAGAATCTTCAAGCTCATCTTACGGCCCTCCGCGTAGGGTAGGGCAGTACATTTGCTCATGCGTGCGTTATCTCAAATGACATATCACGATGGAGATCGAGTTTTGGTATGGACTCTGACCCAGTGGCAGGCGAGAACCGCCCTGTTATGCGAGTTGCATCTTGTGTACGCGTTATGTTGTTTTCGCCGAACTGTAGGCCAGGACGAACTAATAGTAATTGTGTGTTAGCTCTATGGACGGGTAGTGTTGTCTTGCGAAACCCTTGGACACTCTAATGTAACTATGTTCAAGAGAAAGATCTCGACCAGGTCAATCGGGTTGGTAATTCGTTGCGTTTACCACATGAGGTTGGAATGGTTTCTGGCTCTTGATGAACCGTTTGGTTAAATCTTAAAAGTGTTTACCTAGATAGACTAATTCAAGTATAAAAATCTAGCAATAATTTTATGACATGTGCAGTAATTTCTTCAATAACAGTTGATTTCGATAGAAACTATGAAAGCTTGATTCTTTCAAGTTAGAGATGAAAGCATAAGCAATCGAAAGGAGCCTGTATTTGAAAATATTGTAGCTTACAGACTTGCGCAATTTATTTTCTGTTGATGTCATTCTGCTCTCGTTAGCACTGCGGTGGTTACATATAAACCATTAGATAAAACAAATTGCAATAACTGTATTGCAAGTAACGTTCGTTTAATACGTCAAATATTTAAAGTATTTTTAATATTTTCAAGTTTCGCGACGTAGACATCCGCAGTAGAACAATGGTTACCGACATAGGTCAGAGATAGTAAGTTGAAATGGTCCTGCCATATAGCTCGAGGAACCAGGAACCGGGAAATGAGAGGCGTTCAATTTATTCTCGTATAGGCAGAAAAATAAAATATAAACCGTATAAAAGAATAAGCAGAAAATTCTGGTTAAATTTGATTTTCAATGTAGACCCCAACTACCTCAATAGACTTATATGAGCGGGAATTTTAAAATACCCTCTAAAAATATTTTTTTTCATCAATGGCCGCCTTCAACTCTTTGTCGGAAAAATGTTTACCTGGAAGATCTTTCTTAAGGTTGGGGAACAGAAAGTAATTATTAGGGGCTAGGTCCAGCCTGTAGGATGGATGATTGATTTCTTTAACCCGCAAACTCGCTCAGCCTTGGCCCTTTGTGAACCGACGCGTTGTCGTGAAAAAGCAAGAAACCTGCGGTCAATATTCCACGACTTTTTTAAGGTTTTTTTTTTATTGGAGAAAGTGGCAAACGAGCTGGCGGTTCACCTGATGTTAAGTGATAACCGCCTGCCCATGGACATTTGCAACACCCGCAGGGTTGCAGATGCGTTGCCACCTCTTAATATGTGGGCCCCGGCTACCTCACTCACCAGACGAGGTAGTGTGAGGTAGTGGTACTAACCCGGATGGACCTGCCCATTCGTGCAACAGCGAACACTGTTGCGTTGTCCTACCACCGTTAAACCACCTACCGTGGTTCCATACCCAAAGGGTAAAACTGGACCCTATTACTAAGCCTCCACTGTATATCTTTGCCCGTCCGTCATAAGGCTGTATCTCATGAACCGTGATAGAAGTATTTCTGTTGCCACTGTAACAACAAATACTAAAAAAGAGAATAGAAACATTTTTTAGTGAGTTTTATAGATAATGGGGTGATCCACTCCGTGGACGAGTCCGACTCTACTTGGCCCGGTTTATTATGTTTTCTATGATTCACGGACTCTTATTTGCTCTCAGGAACGTAGTGACGAATCATTAATTCAAGTTTGATTACCGGTAACCATTCGGACAAAATACTATGCTGATTTTCTCCACAGATTCAAACTGAAAAAAATACTTCGGCGAGGGCGGGTGTAGTAAGGATATCACGTGTATTTATTTTTTCGCCAAACGCGTGATTTCTAAACTGAAAAGCAGTGTGTAGTCTGACTTTGACTCACCGTTACATTTTTATGGTTCTTAATTTCAGAAAAGAATTCGATTATATTCTAAACCTGTATTTAAAGATAGTATTCTAAAAGTTTTAAGATTCTTCGTATTTCAATGGATTAATGGACAAACTTTTTTTCTGAATGATGAAGACCTATTACTTATTAATTACCTACCCTTATTAATTTGTTTTAAACTGTTTAAGATTACTCAGATCATTCTGAAATAAATACATAATTATAAAACAAAGAAATATTTGGCTAAAAATTTATTTTAAAAGAAATACGTTACAATATCAACAAAGTTATCACAATTTGCTTACCATGTTTTAATTAAGACCAGCTTGATTGAAAATCTTAAAACAATCAGTCTATGCATGAAATATGAAAGTATTTCACTACCAATAGTTGTAAATACATTATATTTTGCTTATTGAACACGAATACTAAAACAAAACGACGGAAAATTAAAGAAACTGTAATAAATTTGAATAATACTTGAGCACAAAATGTAATAATTTTAATATTTGTTTTAGTAAATTTTAAAAGCTTTATTTGCTATTAGAAAATGTTTATCTTAAAAAAAATTATAGAAAAACAGAGGTAATATAAAATGATTACATACAACAAGACAATAGACACATTCATCTCCAATAAGGCACAAAGGAATAGGATATCCATTGATTTCTTATGCGTAAAACCCTATCAAAATGTCCTTAAATATATAAAACTGATTAGAAATTGATGTTTTGACTAGCAGCTGGCCCAGTGCCAAACTGATATTCTTCCTCTGTCTGCTCTGGTTGAGCCACCTGATCTTCTTGGTCCATGAAGTATGTATCCAATATGTGAAGGCACTTTTTGTATATCTGTTGAAATTAACAATAAGAAATACGTAAAATTTTCACAACAGACACAGTAATCAAAAATGTGTATCATATCATAAACATTGTGTAGCAACATTTGGTAAATAAAAATCAGTCAACTGTTGTTTTTTGGAGCAAATTCTTTGTGAAAATTAAAATAGAACTAGGAAATATATAAAACCATACCTGTTCATTCTCGTGTTCCTGCAAAGCCTCAATGCGGTCTAAAGCCCCAATCTCTTCAAGTTTAACGCAGAGCGGCTCCGTTTGCCCGAATTTTGCCGCCGCCTGTTTAGTTTACGTAGTTTTGTTTTAAAAAAATTTCGAATACATTGTAGTGAGAAGAAAACATGCCATAAATACACTTCTAATACTGACCTATTGCAGGCTTATGATACAACATTAACGCCCGAAACGTACAAAAGGATGATTAAACTCTGAGTTCATCATTCTGATCATTAAGAGGATCATTCTGGTCAATTCAGAGAGTTTAACCATTATTGTGGTAACTAAAATGAAATTTGCAAAGCCATTTAACAGCTGATTAGTTGACATCTACGATGATCAGTGTTTCAGAAACCGGGCGTTAGTAACCAAAATGAAAAATTCTATTTATTATGTCAATTTTCTCTGCATTTATGCATAGAGCATTAATAATGGTTGTTGATGGTTTGTACTCTATCCAACTTTCATTATCAAAAAAGAAATTTATAACATCATTACCTGCATAAGGTTGGTAAGACCATCCAGCACAACGGTGACAGCTCTCTGGTCAGGTGAACTTAGCAGTGCGCAATATGGCTCCAGGAAGCCAGCAGACATTAGTGCATCTAACTGGGATGGTGCACCGCCGAGGCACAGGTTTGTTATGGCCCATGCAGCTTCCTTTTGGCACCTTTTACAATAAACAAGCTTTAAAATGGGTGTATTTCAAATGGGGTTTAATAAGATAGGGACTACTAATTACTGCTCACTTTTTTGTTATTGAGCTGGAAAATTAAATGGATGACCATGTATTTTTGGGAAAAGGTTGTTTTTTTTTTATGTGAAAAGTTGCCAAACGAGCTGATGGTTCACCTGATATTAAGTGAATATCGCGCCACCCATGTACATCTGCTACACCCGAGGGTTCCAGATGTGTTGACAACCTTTTGAAAATTGGGCTCTGGCCACCTCACTCACTGGACCAAAAGCGAAAGTATTATACTTATTACACTTTACGCCGGTCGTCTGTGAGGTCGTGGTACTTACCCGGACGAGCCTGCCCATTCGTGCAACAACCGTAGCTGCTGCGCTGCCCTACCACCGTTAATGGGGTGCTGACCGACAAGCACTGTAGCACGCGTGAGCACACTTCAAGAATAAGATACCCTTTACTCTACTTGCAGTAACATGGGACCACTTTATCGGGCCCACTAAAATGTCACCAGTTTATCAAAGCCCCCCATCCTTATTGCCTGTGTTCCCCAGCTTCATTATTCGTTTTTTACTACCTTGGTCCTATAAAGCCGGGACTATAGAGGCGCCGTCATCCCCTAGTGGCCATACACCACACAGTATTTTTTAAGAATAAAGCCGTAACAATGTTTTATCGGTGCCATAAAATTTTTTAGGGGAATAAATGATGTAGGAAGTCCTCACTTGATATCATCACATGCTAACACATGCAGCAAATGTCCCAGAACTCCCTTGTCAATTGCTCTTTGGATCTGCTGCTGTGTCCCTGCCAGTACATTGCTGACTGCCCAAGCAGCTTCCTTCATCAGAGAAAATTTACCGCAGCGCAGTAGAACTATGAGGTAATCCAAGCATCCTGCATCCAAGCATCTATCAGTCTGCAATGGGTTTAAAGTTAAACAAGTTAGAAAAGATTGCACAGACTGTACATTATTTGCACATAAGTAGCATTCTTTATAAACACCTTAATAATTTTTTTTTAATTTTACGACAAAAGAATAACTCACACATTCGCTCTGACGCGTCTTAAATAATTGTAAATTATAAATTAACAATAAACTCTTATTTTAGTGTTCCACAAAGTTTCATTTGGATCATAACACAGAACAGTACTAAAAATAAAGTTTCTAAACAAAAAAAACCGGAAACTAAAGTCATTGTCAACACCTATAATATTTGAGGATTGCCTTCGATTTCTCTGGGATGCCATCATCAGATCAGAGTTTCTTTATCATGGTTTCACTCTTGGGATATCTCCTTTCCAACAAAAAAAGAATCATCAAAATCGGTTCATAAATGACGATGTTAATCCCGAACACACAAAAAAATATATATACGGTTGAATTGAGAAACTTCCTCCTTTTTTGAAGTCACTTAATAAAAATTAATCCTAAAAATTTAATGAGCCAAGGAGACATCTCTCATTACAAATATTCATCGTTGAAAGTTCTTTATATTACATATCATGCTTTTGTTCATTTATCTACAAAATTCACAATGTAAAATTATAGAATTAGTACATAAATATTGATAAATGTAGTAAAATACCTGTTCATCAGAACCGGTGAGCATATTTCCAATGGCCCTCAGTGCGGGGGTTCTGACCGCCGGGGACTTATGGTCGAGAAGCTTGGTGAGACGCGGCAGCAGTTGATTTGTGTTCTGGACTGCTTCTATGCGCTCGTTGGGCCCGTCAGTTAAGTAGGATAAAGCCCAGCACGTGTCAGCTGCAGTAATTTTTTTTACTTTTACAACTTAAATTTTGTAAAGGCATTCTCGGCTACAGCAATCATGTAATATTATGTAAATTATGAATTAATTGGTGATGTTTAACTGTGGTAGGACCACGCAACAGTCCTCGCTGTTGCACGAATGGGCAGGTCTGTCCCGGGAAATACCACAGCCTCACAGAAGACGTAGTGGAATACTTCTGCGTTTCGTCTGGTGAGTGAGGTAGCCGGGGCCCACTTAATTTAAAGGTGGCAACGCATTTACAATCCTACGGGTCTGGCAAATAGGCGGCGGTTATCACTTAACATCAAGTGAACCGCAAGCTTATTTGCCACTTTCTCACATAAAAAAAAATGCTATCATACCAAGCACATCAGGATCTGACATCTCCAATAGTTCTGAGACATAGGTCAGTGCTGGAGCCACCATATCAAACTTCACTAGTGGATTCTTATTCCTGAAATAAGTAAAGATAACATAATGTTACATGACAATTTGTTGCAGGATACAAACAGCGCAGCATTCACAATACCCTTTAATAGTCTTTGGGGTACACCCCTGTTTGGCAGAAGCATCAAGCTAAATTAATTTTGTAGTTTCTGTTTCCTAGTTTGATAGAACCACACTGCAGCATTGAATGGTGCACTAATTTTGTCCAGGGAATCATGAATTAATGTTAAGGAAGAAGAACCTCAAAGAAGGCAAGCATGAACTGGAAAAAAATAGTTTTTGCATTACATCTGGTATGTGAGGTATCAAAGATAGTAAAGGCCCATTTACACGGTGCCAGTTTCATGCCTGTTGTATACAATTAAATTGAAGCAATAAATGAGTTGCATGGTCTAAACAACACATAACATTCTTGACTGTTGAACAAGACTTGCTTCAAGTTTTGTTTCAAAACTTTCCTTGGTGTAAACAGCACACACAATAATTTCTTAAGCAATTCTTGTATTCAATTGCATTCTCTTTTCCTTTGCAAACATGAGTGCGATGGGTGAGGGTGTTTAATCGTTGCTGTTCTTTTGAGGCAAGAAATATTGAGAAAAGGTCGTAAAAAAAAAGTTGGACGATAAAATGAATAATAATATGGACAATAATAAATCATTCTCAATCAAATATACTAAATCTGCATAATCTAACTTGAACACTTATCTTTGACCCATTTTTTTTAAATAAACAAACAGCCCTTTTCAGAACGTTCAACACTTGAACAAAATATTTGTCAACGCAAATACGTGCAATACTTGAAGCAACACGCCAATAAATTGTACACGCACATACAAGCATGTGTTTAGACAAGTCAAAACTTGAAAGCAATAATCGCCTAAACATAATTGCATTGGTGTAAACAAAAGACATTTGCAATTATTTCTTGTACATACAATAATCGCATTCAATTTTTTTTACTATATCTGCGTGTAAACGGTTGCTTACAATTCTTGATGGTCAATTATTGCGCGCAATTTATTGCATTCAATTATTGCTCTTGTGTGTACAAGAAAATGGCATCGTGTAAATGGGCCTTAACACTCTTTAAAACATTGTCAATGAATCTGCAACCTCACAGGTGTTATGAATGTCCATGGGCTTCAATAATCAGCTCACTTATAAATGTTTCTATTTTAAAGTAAAATGGTTATGTATTTTAAACGTCCATATTTTATCATCAAGGTAAAATGAGGAATGAAAAAGGGCCTACTATAATGTCCAAGGATACATTGAGGACAAGGATGTGTGGAAATGACTTTTGCTCTGCGCTTGCAAGATGGCTGCTGCTGATTTTATACCTAAATAAGTTTGTATAATTGCATCACAAAAAAAATAACGAAAAGAACAAAACCGCAGAGTTTCTTGCCGGTTCTTCTCTGTTCAGGTGTAGTTTAGTGAAGTGGTGGTAGTTTTTTTGTTAACATCCAATAAGAGGTTAAGTTAAGTCTATCAATACTTTGACTTTGAATGAAATAATCAAACACCTGCAGAAATTGCTGTAGGTCCAGACGGCGGTCCTCAGCTGCGAGGGCGATGTGGTGGTGGTCATGAGGGGCAGCAGCGTCGGCAGGGCTCCGGCCGCGAGAACGGCGTCGCGGGGCGAAGCGCCGTCGCCGGCGATGTTGCCCAGCGCCCACGCGCTCTGCTCGCCCACTATGCCGCCGCGCGCGAGTAGTGATACCAGTTTTGGGATAGCACCGCCCTACAAAAAATGCTCGTCAACACTTTGTGAACCATCCTCCGGCCCTTATCCCACCTAGATGAGGTCGGCATAACATGTGTATCAGCCTCTAAATGCTGGAAATATTCTGCCTCTAAATGCTGGAATAACCTGCCGCCACCGCTTCGTAGTGTGAAACCATTAAATACATTTAAAATAAAATATAAAGCTCACCTAATTAATGTTCATAAAGCTATGGCGTGATATTTACCTACCTAAATAATTACAGACACTTAGCGCTGTCCGGCGGGTTCATACGAAAAGCACATGAGAGTGCATAGAACTTTTTTTTTTTTGATACGATAAATGTACATGTGGCGTATTTGAGCAATAAATGTTTTCTTTCTTTCTTTCTTTCTTTCTATCATATTAAATGGTGACCATGATCGCTGGTAAAGAGTTCGAAACGTCACGGGAGTTCAAATCAAAATAAAAAACGCGATAAAATCCGTAAACTAGTTTCATTTAATATGTTTATCATGTTTACTAAGCGGTTTTGGCTAGGTCTTTTGCGACCTGCCTGACGTCAACCCTCCTTGGGATATAAACACCCAGATTCGGAACAATTATCTGTGTGTCACACAAATACTTTATGGGAATCGAACCCAAATCCCCAATGTCAACCTCATTTTTCGTTAAACGCACGAGCGTATGTATCGCACGTTCGAAGGAAGAAGTTGTTATATAATATAAAATTATCTTCGTAAAATATTAACGGAATTTTTGTTTCATATCAAGCTAAGAGAGAACTGACAATGCAGCAAGTGCAAATTTAATATTACAAAAACAATTTTGGGCTTCTTTTGACGCCTTTGGTACTCCAAATTCATTTAGCATTTCATCTCCAAATTTATGGTCATAAATGTTTATCATTTATGACCATAAATTTAGTTCATTTATTAAAATCCATTAGTTTAACTAAAATGTGAAGTTTTATTTAAACACCTAAATGGTTATTGAGATTTTAACAACTTAATATGGGCATTTTTATCATTGACTTCGAGACTTAAAGATTTAAATGGGACCCACCCCAAAATTTCCTAGAAATTTGAAATTTGGCATCTAGATTTAGAGTCTAGGGTAGTGTGTGTGTAAACAAAGAAAAATATTAAAAAACAGTGAACTTTACTACAGTTTTAAATATTTAGTTTAGCTTCGTCCTTAGCGCCTCTTAAAATTATAACAGCAAAAACTTTTTCTTTTGCAGGTTTAGTTTCTATGATGAAATTTCATATCTATCACATTTATCGTTTTGTATACGCCATATTTCATAAAACTTATTGACACCAATAATGGTCATGGTATAGACCTATGGTAGGTATTGATACCAGAATACACCTAAAAGAGTATATATCTTGGTACATAAGAGGCATATAAGAATTCCGATGAACAGAAATTGGAACATAGGATTGGAATATGCACAGTTTAAACGAAAATCCATCATCTAAGTGCAATACTGCAATCAATCTGCACAAACAATTTTCTTAGACAATATTTTAATTAGAATTATTTACATGATGTATATGTAGTTAATTCAGGATAAATTGATGATTTCACTTGGCTAATCTTTACCAGCAAGATATGTTAACCATACAACATAAAAAAGTAACTTATGTAAACATAAAGAACACAAGATGATTAGCCACCAATTATCTTTAACTTGAAAATGTTTATGAATTTTGTAAATATGGTCAATAGTGTTTTAACATAATTAGACCTTGCTCCCATTTTCACAATTATATATTTGATGGGATTTGTCTTTTAATAACACTGTTATACAGAGTTGATAATGAAAATTTTAGCTTCAAACAATGGTTTCATGCTAAAGCAAAACAGTGTAACAACCATTCCTATCAATGGTTCCATAAACATTACTTACATTAATCACAGCCATAGTATGGTCATGGGTGCCAGAAGCAATGTTTGTAATAGCCCATGCTGCTTCAAACTGCAAATCTTGACTGTAAGAAAAATCAATGTATTATTAACTTTAATATACTGATAACTTTAATGCTAAAGTTAATATACTTCTACAGGCTTGGTACAATAACCTCCATCGACAACAGTGGTCAAGTATTTCAGCAACAAAATTACTTTAGGAACAATAATAGATTTTTTTTATGTGAAAAGGTGGTAAGCGAGCTGCCAGTTCACCTAACGTTAAGTGATAACCGACGCCCATTGACATATGCAACCCCCGTAGTGTTGAAACTGCATTGCCACATTTTAATTAAGTGGGCCCCAGCTACATTACCCACAAGACGAAACGTAAAGTTATAACATTTCCACTGCACATGGTGTTTTGAGGTTGTGGTACTTACCCAGATTGACCTGCTCATTTGTGCAACAGAACACCTACGAGATTGTTGCATGGCACTACCTCATATCAAAATTTAATAAATTAGGAGAAAAATATCTTTAAAAGTTTTATACCAACATAATTTCTGATATTTTACATATCTTTAATCAATTTATTTCATGAAGTATATTGACACTTCATCATCATTTCAGCCTGTTTGAGTCAACTGCTGAACATAGGCCTCCCCCATAGATTACCACTTAGATTGATGAAGTATATAGTAAAAGTAAATTGATGAAATTTGTTTTTCCATCAAAATTGATAAAAATTGTTTTGTTTACAATAATAGACTTCTAGTATATTTTATGATGCTGGACAGTTTAAATAATCATCTAACTGAATAAGAACATAAAAAACTGGCATAATCATATAATTACATTTTTTATTGATTTCAGTTTAATTATTTTTTCTTAAAAAAAAAAAAATTATTACATATCTTGACTGTAAAGCATTATTGTGTGAAGCATATTTTTTTTTTTAGTAAACATATTAATGGGTAAACCTTATGGTGCCATGTGCAAAAAATAAACTATTGTTAAAGAAGTTCAGGTAACAAACTTAAAAATGTCTCACTGTTACTGTTTTAACTACTTCCTCTAAACTTACCAATCATCCCTGTCTAATGCTTCTACCAAAGGCTTGATGACTCCAGCATTAACCATTATAGTAATTGGTGGGTTCTTCTCTTGAGACAACATGCGTCTAGCTGCACGAGCAGACGAAATCTTGACCGATAGAACACTGGATTTAAGACCTGAAAGGCAAATATAAAAAATTCAGAGAAGCAGAAGGAATCAGCTTAAAATTTTATTACAATTTTAAAATGATTGTAGGTTTTTGAAAATGATACTATTTTTTTATGGATTTATCATTAATTTCTTTAACCTCACAAATTCAAGAAATTATTATTGGATTTTGTATTTAATTTTTACATATTATACATAGTTATGTATTTATTTCAATATATTCACTTTATCGACACTTGGGTGGCATTTTAAAACGTCATAATTGGTCTATTCACTTGATGTTCGATTTCGTTCTATTCATCATCATCATCATTATTTCAGCCTGTTTTGAAAACACAGGCCTCCCCCACTGACTACCACGAAGCAGGATCCTTAGCCACCTGGATCCATCAACTTTTATCTTTCATGTTATTCAATCCTTGGAAGTTATTAATGATTTTTATAATTTATGAAAAGTCAGGCAGTTTCAATCATACATCAATGTTTTGCATCATCTTCATTTCAGGGTATAGGCATCCACTGTTGAACATAGGCCTCCTCTAGGGATATCCCGATCAATCTTTATACTCCACATTTTAAATGTAATTTGAATAATATCTCTTCAATAATCAAAGTGGCCAGAGCTTCAAAACTAAAAATATGCTCTAAGAATTTATGAACAAAAAATTCATATTATGTATAACAATAAATATTATTAATACCCTGCACAATTTCCTCTGGTGTTGGAATCTCAGTTTCCTTTTGTACCTCCTCATTTCCATCTGGGGACAGAGCCCGACGTTTTAAAAGTTGCTCATCACGAGCCTGCTTCCGAAGTGTAACACTAAGCTCCACTCTCTTACGACGTAGTTCCTTAAGAATTTTGTTATAGTTACAGCATGGTATTATACAATATTGAAATATGACTAAATAAAATGTTAGCAGGCTACTACTTCAATATTGCAAGCAAAAAAAATTATTAATTCATTATTAAATTCGACACTTCCATGCCCTTCGCCAGAACACTATGTCGCCCTTGAGTGTCGTTTCACCCACTCGACCTTCGCTCCGCTTGACATCACGGACTTGCTCCACTCAGGACCTCCGACACGAGGTTCTGGCTCCGCCTTTTTATGTTCACTCTAGGGTTGAGGACCACAGGGAATCGGTGTACTTTATCGGATCTTGGTGATTTTTCTTTATAGTTCTATATCATTTAATTTTTTTTTTGCTATATTGAAATAGTAGCCTGTTAAAATTTTACCAAAATTTTGAAGAGGAGGGGAAAATTAAAGTGAGAAGACGAGTTAGAATCTGCTGTAGGGTAGTTAAGATTAACTCTATTTAGTAAATGTATCATAGTTCATAAGTAGGTATTTTATTTTGTACTACAGTAACTAAATAGGAGAAAAAAGTACCTATTAAACAAGTAGTAAAGTGATTTTTCTTTTTAATATTCGACTCATTAATACTTACATTCGTACCGTGACCAGCGTTTTTATAGGATGAAATTCTGGAGGAATGACTTTTGTCACCCATTTTGCTAGTTGTAAAAAGGAAAATAAACGTTTAAAAAACTATGGTCAAATATTTAGGCAAGCATGAAGAAAGAAATGAAATAGGCAGCTGGCAGACCCTGAACGTTAAAACTACAACGAACATAATTTAAAAACTGTGTTGTCATATACAGTAAAATAAATACACGTCAAACATACAATGTACATTTTTTGTGATTTTTAATTTTATTAATAGTCTTGATCTAATTTATTTTTTTATTTTAAGAACATATTATATAAAAACATAATGTACTGAAAAAGATTAATCTTTTTAATCGTAGAACAAAATGACAGTTTGAAGCAAAAGTAGTGACGTGCGGACGCATATATCCGACATGACATGTCAGTCTTTAAAAACAAACAACTAGGTATTAACATGGGGCACAAATAATTTACGGGATAATTTAATATTAATCATTAACAATCAATTTGCAAAGAAGTTTGTTATTAGATTTATCTTTTCGCGACCCTTTATTATAAATTACATCTTATTACATGGATTAATAATTATACCTTGTAGATTTTTATATTTCATTAACACTTACTTGTAATTAATGTCAGATCTTTTGAGATTGTTTTGAACAGTTGGGTTCATTATATAGTTATTGTCCGATAGTTTATATTTATCAATGAATATTTCTTCGTTTGAAATTCAATATTATAATCAGAAGGCTAATAGAAGTATGCTTATTTAGATGTCATTATTTCTTATATATTTATTAAAAATAAATGTAAACCTACATTTAAAATAAAAAGCTGTAAACTTGAGCTTAATTCATGAAAGTTCTCTTTTGCGTACCTATTTTTGCCGGACTTCAAAAAATCTTATTACGGTAACTTAATTATTAATCAAACTGCATTGCGACTGCACTCTAGGCATCGAATTAAAGCAGGCGAGACGAACATCTGAAAAAAAATAGAGAATAAAATAAAAAGAAGTAGGAGGCGCTCTTACGACAGATATTGAGTAGTGGGACGGGCCTACATGCGCAAAGACGTATTACCCTAAATAAATCGCGCATTACACTATAATTAACCTATGCTATGACCGACACTTTCATCTGACGACCTCTTATATGAAACGATCGTAAATTAACGTTATTAAAACAAGTTTACATCCTATCATGGACGTGTAATTACGCAAAACGTTACGCCGCTGGGCGTGACATCACAAATCAGTCCGGTCGGGTTGAAGATAACATGTCGATTATCCGTCCTTGTCTACTGCGCAAGTCGAAAAGAGATGCATGCTGCAAGCAGGCTGGCGTTGATCGTATTCTGTCGAGGGTGTCGCCATTTTCGTTTTGACGAATATTGACAGCACGGCAGACAGACAGTGGCGCGGTCGTCGACGCAGCGTCTGCTCGACTATTTTTATTTTGATTGTGAATCACATAGTGAGTTCATTACATTTACTTACACACAGTGTATCCGTCTGTAATTAAAACGTTGTTTACAAAACGTTATTTCGCTACGAATGATAGACAGGCACATGAGAGACTTCGATTTTTGGTGCTAACCTTCTATTTTACTCGGTGTTTTTTAAGAGAACTGCAAGACTGTGATCGATATGTGCAAGATGTATTACAGATGACTCTGCAAGATATTTCACTTGACGTTATTTCTCTGGTAAGTGATATGTGAAATTTGTAGTTGTGTCGTTCACTTACGTCTTTTGAGTGTACGCTAATAGATTATTAAGGATTTTTCTGGAAAATTGCCTTGATCCAATGAACTTCCTTTAGACGGGTATAATACTTTTTGTGCAGAAATGACAGTTGTCCTTTGTTGCGGTAGCTCCAGTTTGTTTACGAACTGTCACGGGCAGTACACCGCCTAAGATATATTGCTGGGTTGGCGACTATGCGTGGACGGAATGCGCAAGAGAATACGTGCCTTATGGTGATGTGCGTAGCGTGCAAAATGGATTAACGTGGCGTGCGATAACAGCCCGTGGAATTAATTTATCACACGCCGCGCTTGACAAGTTGAAAACATAAATTCGACCTTGGCGCTCCACGTGGTTTGAAGTCGTTGAGCTTTCTTTTTATACGTAGTTGGGAATTTTTACACAAAAAACATTTTTTTACATAATGCGTCTGTTATGAATACGTTTTTTATAGTGAATTAATAATTTCACAATTTGCGCCAAACCCGGTATGTTGTTATTAAACAACGATTTTTGATTTTTTATCAAAATAGACTAATTTCTAGGACAACTATTTGTGGACTAATATCACTTAATACAAAAATTATTATTTTACAATGCTGCTCGCATTGTAAAATAATAATTTTTGTAAACAGTGTAAATAATATTTTTAATATTCCCTAATTTTTCAAACTGATTTTGCTAAATGGAAATATTATGTAAATATTTTTGATTTTAATTTTGAAGTTTTTTTATGTACAAATAAAAAACCGGCCAAGTGTGGGTTGGACTCGCGCACGAAGTATTCTGTATTATTATCGATAAAAACGTCAAAAAATCATTTCTTTTGTGTGTGAGCCTCACTTAAACATTTTTTATTCTGTTTAAAAAACAACGTTTAACGTACAACTTAAATAAATTTTTAAGCGAACTATTCGGAAAAATTGTATGGGCCTTTAATTAACGAAAGATTTAATTAACCAAAGCTGACAAATATTATTTAAGCCAGTAAAATGAAACATCTCTTAATCTAATACGACTTGACTTGAAGATACATTTCGATAGATGACTTGGGGGCTGATAAACCAATTGTGTAAATAGACATCCTTATTATTAATATACTGATACTAGCTGACTCGGCAAACATTGTTTTGCCATATAAATTATTTCTAGAGGAATCGGAATGCATGCATAAAGTGTTTGACAATAAATAAAATTGTTGCATTTCGATTTTACATGCAATTTTCCATAATATCTTATCGCTTAAACCTTCCCTGGACTGCACAAATAGTTCAAAACCAAAATTAGCCAAATCGGTCCAGTCATTCTCAAGTTTTAGCGAGAATAACAAACAGCAATCCATTTTTATATATAAGATTATATATATTTATTTTACTAAGACATAGCAAAGGGGACTACCATTTCAAATATCATCTTATTTCAATTCAGGTTTTACAAATTTGCTATAATTGACAAATTTATACTTATAAAAATGGCACATGGCAGTGAACCATTTAACATTGCTTTAAGTTTCATATACTGTTTATGCAATTGGACCATAAATACTGGTATTTTATTATTTATGCAGAATATGAATGAAACTCAACACTATTTAAAAGAACCATCATTTGTAAACTACTTGCTACTTACTAAATACAATTAATAAACAAATTTTATCATTGCCATTTTAATATGATATTAAATAATGTTTCTGACATTAAGTGGGACAAATGATATTTGGATCAGTGACATGATAATGGTTTAGTTGGCAAGATGTTTCAAACTACACTATCACTATATCATACTATAGAATTTTGGATGCATCTCTATAATACATAATATGCATACCATTTAAACAACATTGGTATTGATAAACTATTTTAAGGTTCTAAATTACACTATCTTTAATATTATATATTGGATATTGTAATAGTGGTTGGCTTTGTCTCAGTGGTAATCATTAAAAAAAAAATCAGGACTTAATATGTCACTGTTTTTATTAATGATATTTATTGCATTACAGTCTTTTTTTATTTCACCAAGGGGTGAAAGTGAATATTAAAAAGCGAAACATAAATTATTTTCGTCGTTGAATTGTTACGTTTTTAATCAATACAGTCGTTTGATTTAACCATAATTAAGTTTAGTTCAGTTGAAAATGAATTGCGTTATGTAATGGCTACAATTTAATAGTTGGCGGGAGATCTTACATCAATACAGTAGACGGCGGTGTGACGATCTAGACTGGCGGTCGACAACCTTTCGTCTAGCACAAAGTTAAATATAATATATTGCATAGGTCGTAAACGACACAGCAATAGGTGAATAATTATTATAGACAAACGAAGAACGAATAAGGACACAATAGATAAAGAAAAGTTGCGGTGGCAGGGCCACGCAACAGTGTTCGCTGTTGCACGAATGGGCAGGTCCGTCCGGGTTAGTGCCACGACCTCACAGAAGACCGGCGTAAAGTAGAAGTACACTTCTGCGTTTCGCCTGGTGAGTGAGGTAGCCGGGGCTCACATTATTGAGAGGTGACAATGCATCTGCAACCCTACGGGTGTTGCAAATGTCCATGAGTAGTCGGTTAGCGTGAGACTTAACATTTAACATCAGGTGAACCGCCAGCTCGTTTGCCACTTGCTCACATAAAAAAAAAGGAAAAAAATTCTTAAAAATAGCTCTCGGTCTCGAACCGTGCTTTTAAATTTACTCGAAAACAATCTGTTCAAATCTTGGTAACGGCTAAAGAAATTAATGCTAATTTATTTTTGGGTGATTGACCACGTGACCGTAAGAGGTTTACATTTTGACGACTTTCGATATCCATTATTCTTTTTCTCCTTAATTGATACGTCCTTGACAGAGCGGTCGTCATGAACTTAAAGGATATTTCGCTTTATCGTTATTATATATTACTAATTGGATGCCTGATACATTTATGCAAGGAAACTCTCAACTACGGATGTGACCGAACAACTTGTGAAATTCGACAACGCTTTTTTTAATGAAATAAAGGGACAAACGAGCAGGAGGCTCACCTGAATGTAAGTGTAACACCAGTGCGCTTGCAAATGCATTGCCGGCCTCTTAGGAAAGAATATTCTCTCTGCTTGAAGGATCCCAGGTCGTAACGGTACGGAAAGACCGTCGGCGGCAGCTGGCTCCACAGAGTGGTTGTGCGAGACAGTTAGCTGGAAGCTGTTTGATGTAGAATTCCTCTAAGCTTTCTTCTTCGGCAGCACATTTAACTAGATGGAGTGAGGGCCTGTTCAAAAGTACGGAAAGTCGATGTATGCTGGTGCTGGCATCGTGCTTCGTGGCATTCTGTG